AAAATGGACAGAGAGCATAACACCCCCAATGTTAGACCTAAAGTTACGCCCTTGCCGCGGAAAGCTGTTAACCAATATGCAAATTACCCTGCAGTACCACTGCTCTACCCATATGAGCAGCAAAACACGTTTTTAGACCAAATATTACAGATTTGAACAAATACGCACAAAAACATCAAAATTAGCACAGAAACAGTACTATATAACATTTTAGACACATTCTAGACAGTTTATCAGCTAACAAAAGTTAAATTTGGGGTACGTTACTCTTTAAGGGTGAGTCACAAGCACAGCACCACTCCTGTACAGTGGTGAACGATGTAAGTGCACTGGTTCGTTCAGACTCCCACTGGGATTCCCCCCAGAGGAGCAAGTGTCCGGGGAGAGGGGAGTCTGGGTCTCTCTGCTTAGGCTGCTGCCCCCGAGACCCGACCCTGGCTAAGCGGCAGAAAACGGACGGACGGAATTAAATGTGCTATATAAATAAATGGATTGCTTAAAATTTACTGCTGCAGTTCTTCAGTTTTCTTTCTTTTCAAATGGCTAAGCTTTTGTCATTTTTTTATGTACAACTAGGCAAGGACATTTTTTTTATTTTTAATTTTAATCCGTCTGTCAAATTATCAGAGATGATCCTAAATGCTTCAAATACCGAGCTGATGCATCAGGGAGCATCTGAGGACTCTGTCATGAAACTGTACCTGTTAGTCACTCTCAGGCCACACGGGGACAGTGTCCTCCACATCAGACACCCCAACCAGCAGTGTTATTTCTCTCTACAATACATGCTGTCAGTGTGTAAACTGTGCGTCATGTTTCAGTTTGTAGAGACGTTGTGGCACCTTTATGCATTTATGGTGAGTATCAAAGGGCCTTTCAGCAGCAGTAATGCTTTGTTGTGTGGAGGCGCAGAGTGCCACGGTTACATGATAAAAGTAAGCACACGAGGTAGCAGAAGAAAGGATGAAAGTTGCTCAGACTTCTTCTTTTAAAGTGCATGATCATTAAAGAGGTCCTCAGATCAATGCAGGAGCAGCAGGACAGGGTCTGGCAGAGAGCTACCTTCATGTCCAGGTCACACGAGGACGCTCCTCTGTCACCACGTCAGTCTGCTTGGTCAAACAACAGCCACGTCTTTTCTGCAGCTCTGCTTGTCTTCTGAGCTCTTTTCATCACGTTAAGTTAGTTTGAATGTCAAAAAGAAAAGATTTGAATTGTAGTTTTCAGAATTCTTGTTTCAGCCTNTGTCCCAGCTGGACAGATGTGATGTTGATAAGTCCTCCATCGTTGTCTCTGCGTCCCTCTGCACAGGAAGACGGTCTTTCTGTCCCACAGCTTTGTAAAGTCCTCATGAAGACAAAGTTGTCAGAGGACAGTGTGTCCATGGGGCCTGTAGAGATGGACACACACATTTATTTAGGTTTTACACTCTTAACCCGAATTAGTCAAGTACCCCCAGCTGCAGACTGCGGATTAGGAAACTAAACGGAGTCGGACGTCCAATGGGTGTGGTCATGGCYTGTAGGGAAGTTTAATGGGAGGCTTAAAACATTAGGCGTGGTTCATTTTAGTACTTAGCATCAGGGGTTGGTTACTTTTAGAGTTGAGGGCGGGGTCAGACGTCCAACCCCGCCTGTTATCCRCCCCCGCCCCCCATGCCCTGGTCTGCAGCCAAGGGTTACACAAATTAGTTGACTTTACTAGACTATTACTTTACCAGCTGGACAGATGTGATGTCTCCGCATTAGAGTACATAGATATCCAAGCTTCACAGGTGTGATGTCTCCACATTAGAGTACATAGATATCCAAACTTCACAGATGTGATGTCTCCATAGTAGAGTACATAGGTGTCTCAGCTGCACAGATGTTGTGTTATGTGTCAACTTGCTCCCTCTGACAGCCAGACACACGTCATGTAGTCTGATGACTACATTTTCCTGATGATCCAGGCCCAGAGCTTGGACCAGGTGTCCCTCCGCTTCCTTCAGGCAGAGTTTTGCCGCTCAGCTTCCACCATCACTGCGCACACAAGCATCAGGTTCCTGTTGACTCCGCAGCTGCTTTTATGAGCCCGTGACAAATTGCAAATCAGCCTTTGCCTGTGCATCTTTTGCACGGCTGCAGTCCCGCGTGTGCACAAATATCTATGTTTATCTTATTTTTCTTTTGACTCCGTCAGTTTAGGTGAAGAGTAGTAGTAAGGGAGCTAACCAAAACACCTACACCACTGTGTCTGCTACATAGCAGCATAGAGTAAACAAATCATCAATTTACCTTATTTTGATGTTTTCTCTTTTTACAACAGGGTGTAATTGACCAGCAATTAAAAATTGTTGGTTGTCCACTTTTGGGCACTCTTCTCATTTCCTTTGAACCACATCCACACTCACACCAGCAACTGCTTCCTCAACAGGTGCACGTACAGCAGCAGGCCGGGCCACTTTGTACAGACAGCAGGTGGGTGATAACAAGTTTTTTGCAGGGGAGGGGGTTGGGGGGTTGCATTAAAAAATGCAGGAATTTTACTAAAATATGTAAATGAATAAAGAAAATCAATTATTGATGTAATATATGTATACTTAAATGATGCAATTTTATGGGGGGG